ATTGCCAGGAAAAGCAGCTGTGGATACAAATTTACCTTTGCTTTAGGAAAGAGTTGATGGAGAATTGTACAAAGAACTAATCAAAAAGTCATAAATGAAACATATTGCGTTGCATTTTAAGATGCATTAGAGAGCTAATGTACTTGTATATAATTATTCCTAATCAGTACTGTGGAGTTAGTCAAATCATCATGAAAACCATCCTTATCTTCATTACTTAAATGGGTCCTCCTTTTTACCAGACTCTGCTAACAAAAAAGCTGTAGCATCATTGCAGTAAAATATAAAATCGCTATTCATAACAAACAGTTCACCAAATTCAGTAATATTTTCTGTTCATAAGTTATCAGCAAATGGCCAGATTTGTATAAATGTTTATTTAATATTTCCAGCAAAAAGGATTAAGTGACTATATTTTTGCCTATGGATTTCTCATGAACCGTGTGCTGTGACTACTGCTTAGAGTATTCGCTCTTTGTACTGTGTGATTGGTCACCTGCGTAATATGGTAATGTTTCTGCTCTCTGATTGAATGACTCCCCAAATCATGAAGAGCTTTCAGGATGGCCGCACAAACAGTTTTGTAGTATGGATACCTACTGGTGGTGTTATACAGATACGGATGCTGCATATATACATCTGATGGAATAATGAATACCCAAAGCAATAGTCTTGGTGTAAGTAATCTGTAAGGAATGATACTTCTTTGTTGGAAAACTTCAAACCATTACATAAATCTGGCTGTTTGCAGATAATTCATGGAGAGAAAACATTGCTAAAGTTGTTGAACAAATTGTTATGAAGAGTTCATCCAGCCCAAGTAGATTGCAAGACTTTGTGTTCCCACAGCTTGTTAGTGGCCGTGAGGCATTATTAAAACTAGGGCTGACTTTCAAATCTCACCTTTTTTTAGTTATGTAAAAAAAGAATTTTTTTTTACATATAATACAGAATTCCAGACCTTGAAAGTTCTAGACAGTGGAGATTAACATTTTACTTATTATAAGCCCCAAATCTCAGAGCATCATCTGTTTAAGTATCCGTTGTAGAGTAGTTTCCAGAGTACCTGTGAAGTTACTCATTGTTTAGTTTTCCCATGGGTTCCAGTTCAACACCTGTTTAATCAATGAAAGGATCTCTCTGAAGATTTGACGGGACACATTTCAAACAGGAACACATGCTGCCTCTCTCTGTGCTGAGCTGCACATGTGTCAGCAGAGCAGTGTGATGGAGCCATGAGATCACTTTGCTCTGAAATTTGGAACTGGACCAGCAATCAGATGATACATCTCTAAAAATGTATGACATGAGCTCCTAATTGAACTGTAAAGCAAAGAATTTGCTATTGAAGGCACAGAGGGAGCAGGAATGTGGGGGTATTTAGAGAAGTATCATCACTTCCATCAAGGAAGGCTGAATGCACAAGGAATGGCACCAAGGATATCATGTTAGAAAAATTCTGGAGGGGGGCGGGCAAAGTTGTGCAGCATCCTCGCTTCTGTCTCCCTGTTGAGGCTGCAGCTGCTTATTGGGGTTAGCGGGCCAGGCCTATCCCAGGGAGTGGGGTGGTGGGCTGGGGGGTGTCTCACTGATGGCTGTCCCAGGGCAGGGATCAGGGTCTGGTTCACTCCATGATAAGCTTGTCCCAGGCCACTGCTGCTGTTGGGGAGCGGGGAGGCTCTGACAATGCTGTGATTAGGAGCCCCGTTCTGCCCTGCAGCGAACACTGCAGCACCGACTGGGGAGGAGCTATGAAAAGTTGGGGGGAGGGGCAAACCAAAGACTGGGCTACCACCTCTTGCAGAGGCGGGTTTACTACAGTGAGAAGAGAGTCACTGATTCACCACTGCAGCGCAGCTGCTGCGTAGCATTTTAAGCGTAGCTGGAACCTGTATTATAAAATGTCTGGGTCTCTGAAGCAGCTCTGGAGGACATTGGGGCTGGAATATTCTTTGCAAGCCAAGAAGTGCAATATGTTGCAGTTACCACTGATGGATATTTTCGTACGGGAAAGTGTTTTTCCAATGGCACATGGATGAGAACAAACATGCTGCGTCCATTGTGGTCCCCAGGTTCTTTAGCTTGAAAGAAAAGAAAGCTCAGTTATAACTTTTGCCTTAGCAAAGGGGGTGGTTCTTCCCGCGGTATCGCACTGTCTGGTTGGGGGAGAAGTCCAGGCACACAGACACAGATGGTTGCAAGGGTAAAATTTTCAAAAGCACCTAAATCCTATTTTCAGAAGTGAATGAGGCACTTGGAAACCTAAGTGCCTCAGTCATTTTTGATAATGGGACGTAGGGTCCTAAGTCATGTATGGGTTTTTGTAAATGTTAACCCAAGCCTGTTCTGTTGGCAGAGCTGTGGTGGCATCCACTTCTCACAGTCTCTAAGGTGCCACAAGTATTCCTGTTCTTCTTTTTGCGGATACAGACTAACACGGCTGTTACTCTGAAACTTCTCACACTGTAGCAGCAGCCTCAGGGCTCTCAGGTTACCACTCTGTGGTGGCCCTAAAGCCTGGCCCAAGCCTCACAATGGCAAGTGCCACGTAAACAACTTGCTAATGCACATAATTTGCATAGTATAGAAATGATTATGAACATCATAAATCTAATGTCTCGTCTACTTTAAAGTGTAAGATCCTAGGGGCAAGAACCTAGTTTTATTTCTGTTTAGCGCCACGCACACCAAGGTGCTATCTGAAAAATAAGAACTCTGCATTTCTATTGTTCCTTTCATTTGACAGTCTCAAAGCACTTATTAAGCCACATACCATCGCAGTGAAGTAGGTCAGAAATACATGAAGATCACTTCACTCACTGCTGAGACACCGCTAACTCTAGGCTGGAAGGCAGCAGTTAGCACACAGCAACACTCTGGAGGTGTTTAGAAGAGGAAGTGAAGAAGAAAATCATATCCACCTGAAACTGCATGAGGCATTTCAGGGGCAGAGTGTATTTATACCTGAGCTGGGGTTTTGGCCAGGATGCTGAGTTTTTAATAGTGAAGGTGCAGGCAGTGCTGAATAAGGGTCATGCTCTTCTGCTTGGGAGGAGTTGCAGAATAGCAGTACTTTTGGAGGGCTGTACATGTCTCATTCATTTGACCTTAAGCTCCACTGCAGAATGCCCTAAAGCCATTTAGCTGGCTGAAATCTGCCAGCCTGCTGTTATGCACAGAATACAGGAAGTTTACAAAAGATAGAGAGAGCTACTTGCTGTCATCGACTCTGTGTTCAGTGCAATGGTTTCTGGTACTGTGCAGATGGACCTCGTCCAGGGAAACAACTGGCTTTTATAAACCCCGGGCCTTCATAAAAATGCCCCTTTGGATTCTCACTATTTTACTGTAATTACATTGGATGAGCTACAACTTTGAGCAAAACGTGTTTCAGACCAAGCTGATTTTAATGGTCCTTTTAGAAACAAAATGTTGGTTATGTGATTATGCCATAGGATATGTTACTTTCCGTAAGCTTGTTCCACAGAATACACTTAATTCATGTGTAGCCAGATCTGGAGAGGTGCTTAGGATCTGCAAGTTGTGGATGCTCAGCCCCTCCCAGAATTTGTCCCTTACAAACTTTATCTAAAGAGTAATACTTTGCACTTTCCTAGTATCTTTCATCCAAGTATCTCAAAGCATTTTACAAGTGACCTAATGAGCGGTGCCTCTCGAAACCTGTGTGAGATGGGTCAGTAGTATTGTCTTCGTTTTGCAGATAGAGAAACTAAAGTTCTGAGAGATGAAGTAACTTGCCCAATGACAGAGCCAGGAGAAGAACTTTTCTCATTCCAAGCCTCATGCTTTCTGCACTGGAGCTTAATCCCCCACAAAAGCCGATATGAATCAAATGCACTTGAGAGATGATACTAAGTGCTTGTTTCTCTCTTTGTGGGCAGCCCTCGCTTTGAAGGGAACTGAAAGGCTTTTTAACTGTGACAAGTATAAGGTTTTCTGTTGAAGTCACTAGCACCTTAATACAGGGTAAGGAATGCAAGGAATGTAGTTCCTGCCTGCTGCTTTTGGCATTAGTGATGTCAGCCATTGTTGCAGGAGCAACACGGAACAGAATCCTGGACTCTCATTTTTGGCAGATAAATAAATCAGGGAAATATTGTTCGAAGAATGTGTTTGAAAAAGAATGTATAATTTTAAAACGTTCATTTGTGTTCCGTGATTGGGGATCGTGGACAGGTTAAACACTGATTAATTGAAAGAAAAAAAACTGATGCTTGAGATTTTTCTCATTTATAAGATTCCAGCCTCTCTCTCCATCCCTGGAATAATTGCCGCTTTCTAGAAATCCTTTGCTAAAGTGGAGTTTGCCTAGCAGAGGAAGAATCAGGGCAGTGCCACCTTCTTCATCCTAATGATCCCACTTTTAACTGAACCCAGTTGTAAACTACGGCACATATTCTTTCCTCTGGATCCCCTTGTATTCTACAAGCTAAGTAGGGTTATTCTGGGTCAGCATTGAGATGGGGTACCTCCAAGGAACACCCATCTGTAGGCACTGTAGAAAGTGATGCTGATGATTCAGTAAGTGGCATTGTTTCTTCTGATTCAGTTAGGAATTAATGCCCCAGATTGGATATAAGGAAATCACTGGTGCTGGATAAATCACCTTTCAGATGAGGCATAAAACAGTCATTAAAGACCCCTTGGTGCTTTGTAAGACTGGAGTTTAAAACCTCAGTACCCCCCCCCTCCCCTCCATGTTTCACTTTGGGTAAATGCTTCGAATGCAAACATGGTCACAAGGTCAGATATTCTTTCTCTCCTGTCCTGGATTTCTGGGGACTCTTTTTGTGTGCTATTAAACTGCTGCTCTGATTTAATCCACAGGGGGATGCATTTGGCGGTTGGTTGTGTATTGGTTGTATATCTATTTACGTTTATAATGGGCTCTGGGAGCCTTCATGATGAATGGACGTTGAAGTTAATTTAATGTGTGTACAATTATGATCTCATGTTGTTCCTTCTTCCCTCCCCTTCAGCTGTCTGCAATTATGGAGTTTGTTTCAATGGAGGAAACTGCATGGAAGGATCTTCTCAGCTCTGTCGCTGCCCTTCTGGTTTCCAGGGACCCCGCTGTCAGTATGGTGAGTAGCCTTTCCAGACCCTTACTTTAAACCTTCCTCCTACATATTCTGAATTTAAAGCCGAGGGAGCAGGCGATGAAGGATGTTTTCCCTGATGTTTGCTTCCTGACCCCAGCATCCTTTATCTTTGCAAGCTGCAGTTTTATCTGCACAGCTCCATTAATTTGCTCTACACATATTCTGGCTCCTGTTTGTTATGTTTTGAGAATGGGATGTTTGGGAAGGAAGTGCTTGTCATGACTTGCTGTGAATACAGCCCTATCTCTCCATAATATAAAGTACGATGGCCTTTATTCCTGGCCACCACCAGCAGAAGTGGTTTGTTGGAATCAGAGAAGGAAGCTGATTAAAGTTGGGTTGAACAAAGCAACCCTGGGGTCGTTTCCTGTGAACTGAACCTTTAGCCATTGGACAAAAGCCAGAGGGAGCCCAGCAGTAGGAGGGGACAGCAATGGTTAAGCTATTTCTAGCAAGGGTGTCAGCACATGTTTTCACATGTAGATGTTGTTTAAACATTTACAGAGTCTACATCAGAAAGGACTAGCTAGAGCTGTTATGTCTTCTGTCAGGTCTTATTGGTTTTGAACTGTTAAACTTTGTGTAATTAGCTCCTAACACAATACACACATTCTCTCTTGTGAAGGTTATTGAACTTCTTATGTTATGCAATTCAGAATCTTCTTGTTGGCTGATATGCTATTCGGTAGCAAGTTGCAGCTGGAGAGCAGGCCAAAAACTCTGAGCACTACTTTAGACCTAATTTATACAAAACAAACGTGTAAGAACAATGTACATTGTATTATTCCTAAGGGGTCTTGGGAATGTCCATCCATAACGTCCAATCAATCAACACATTTATTTGGTTGGCAGTCTGGAAAATGTGCCATGATATAACGATTAATCACAGTGCATTGCAAATCTTTTACAACAAATTAAAAACCAATAATAAGTGTATTTTTTTCACAATGCATAATTCATTGTGCAATTCATGGCCATTAGATATCACTGTGGCCAAGACCTTAGTAGTAGTCAAAATGGGATTGGACATTTATATGAATAATTAGATAATCCTCAATTACAGCAGATAGGAATAGAAACTTTTGTGTGTCAGTGTATAAGCCAATCATTATTTGAAAGGAAGAAGTTTCCTCTGTGGGCAGGTTATTTGATAATTGCCCACTAATGGGTTTTGTGCACCTTCCTCTGAAGTATTTGGCATAGCTCACTGTCCGAGAGTACTGTAGTAGACAGTTGGGACTCAGGGCATATGTAACCCGCAATTTCAGATTGCGGCGTGTATAGAAATACACAAGCTAGCTTTAATCCATCAGTGGAGTCATGGTAGCACAGGCATCAGTGCAGGTTAGCTCAGAGGTGGGCAAACTACGGCCTGCCGGCCACATCCGGCCTATGGGATCGTCCTGTCCAGCCCTTGAGCTCCCAGCCGGGGAGGCTAGTCCCCGGCCCCTCCCCTGCTATCCCCCCTTCCCCGCAGCCTCAGATTGCCATGCCGCCAGTGCTCTGGGCAGCGGGGCTGCGAGCTCCTGCCGGGCAGTGCTGGCTCTGGCCTGGCGACACGGCCGCCAGTCCTGGCGCTCTGAGCGGTATGGTAAGGGGGTGGGGAGCGGGGGGGTTGGATAAGGGGCAGAGGGTCCCAGGAGGCAGTCAGGGAACAGGGAGCAGTGGGCGATTGGATGGGGCAGAGGTTTGGGGGGGGGGGGGAGGTGGTCTGGACGAGGAGCAGGGGGGGTTGGATAGGGCGTGGGAGTCCCTGGGGGGGCCTGTCAGGGGGCGGGGATAGGGGGTGGGGCAGTCGGGATAGGAATCAGGGGCGGTTGGATAGGGGGAAGGGGGCCAGGCTGTTTGGGGAGGCACAGCCTTCCCTACCCAGCCCTCTGTACAGTTTCGGAACCCTGATGTGGCCCTCAGGCCAAAAAGTTTGCCCACCCCTGGGTTAGCTGCTTGAGTAATTACCCAGAGTGCTAGGTGGGCTTGTACAGCCTGCACTGAAGTCTGTGCTACAATGACTTTGCTGCTGTTCATTCCCTAGTTGTATTAAAACTGTACACGAGCTGCAGTCACGCCCTGGGATTCCAGTGTGGACGTACTCTAAGTGAAGGAGTTCTGCTCTATTTTTCTTTCTTTGATGAATTTAAGGAAGGTGGAAAATTCAAGTAAGTATTATTTCCTTCCTGTTTGAGAACCATTGGGCGGGGGGAAGAGTTTGGTCTCTCTACCCCAGATTGTTGATTAGCCATGGTAAAGGGTTGGTCTTAGCCCACTGAGAAGGGCTGATCAGCCATTTAAGAAGGGCTGGACATGGGGGAAGATCTGGGGTTGGGAGGACACAGTTACGCTTCAGCCTTTGTGGCCGGAATGCATAGAAGAGGACTGGGGAAACAGGGCAGTTTGCTACATTCCTAAATTATTGTACTAGTTCTGTTGCTGCAGAATAAATGAGCAGCTTAATGCTGCACTTTGAAGAGGGCAAGGTGACAAGTTCCCACCATTCTGGTGCGCCAGAAAGCACCTAATTACCTGGTATGGTGGCCAGCGAGGTTTCAGCTGCTGGGTCAGCATGTTAGAGCCGATTTTTCATGCCACATCTATTGTAAGGAACTTTAATTATTGTTACAGGTATCAATTAAGAAGTGCGTAAAAGGCTTTAAGTCTCATTCAGATAATCCTGTTAAAGAAAAAAAACCCTGGTTTGCTCTCATTGAGAAATGCAATTTCAGGTTAATCAAGAAACTCTTTGCTGCTTTAAGGGTTTGTTGTCAACATTAGATTGTGTTTTCAGCTGGCTCTGTATCCATCCTGGGCAGTCAGGAGGAGCGGGAGTGTTTTCCATCAGAGAATCTGAGCCTTCCTTTGGGCTTGACTGGACTGTGGAACAGCCAGTGCATGTTGAGTTGGCATGTGATCCGTTATCTGATGGCCACCCCATTTGCCTGGTGTAAAATACCCACATAGGGGGGAGAGCCAAGTTCCTTGGTAATTGAAATAGGAATTTCTTCAAAGGCCCAGGTGTGCCGGCAGCAACCCTTTGCTTCTGCTATTTTGCTGACGGGCATCCCAGCCTGAATTATTTTCTGAAATGGAGACTTCATTTGGGAACAAATGGCCTCTTGACCCTGGAGCCCAGGGCTCTGTTGCTGACGGACTGGCGGCAGAGTCAGTAGCAGGCTTAGGGCGGTGCTGCTGGAATACTGTGCCCAACACAGATACATCCTCCTGTGTTTCATTATGTGCATGGGGATGCTGGAAGCTGACTGCACAGCCTTACCCCCTCGGCAGAGAAAATACAGCAACAAGATGCTCACTTCCTATGCCCTGGTGGAAGAGAACAGAACTGCTCCAACTTGTTCGTGACGTTTCTGATGAGCTGATTTTTAACAGTAGAGTACAGAAGAATCAAAGGCATTGGTACAACACAAAGTGGGGACACTGTCTGTGGAAATGTACTAACAGAAGTTTAACCAACTAGGAAACGTGTGTGAATCAAGCCTTTTAAAAACAACGGCGTGAAAGGTGCCATATGAACAGCCTGCTGAGCCGGGGTGAAATTCTGGCCCCACTGAAGTCAAGAGCAAAACTCCCATTGACTTCAGTGGAGGCAGAATTTCACTTCCGGGTTCTTCATTGCTCTGTAGCCTAGGTTTAGCACAGCCAGCAGTGGTGCAAACCTCCCTCGTGCTGTTCTGCCACTGTTCTGACTGTATTTACTGTATGATAAAAATTCAGTCTGTGCTTCATGAAATCTGTAAGGATACTGTTGAGGCTGTGCCCGGAGAGTACCGATTACACTGCTACTCGTGATGCAGACACTCCTCGGTTAGGCGGTAGACTGCGTCCACTAGCTAATTTCACGTAGTCCTTTAAAATGGCAATGACTCTCATTCACTACAGAATAAAGGTTCTGTCTCCCATTACCAATTCATCTTAGACATCCAGTCCTTGGTTTTAAGTCTCTTTTTTCCCCCTTATTGGTCTTCTTGATGCTGTTGAAGAGTTTGCAGTTTTGGTTACCCAGACCCTTTTAGCCCTGACTGCATTCACATGACCTAGGGCTGACGGAGAGCCTATGCCAAGCCTCTCTGCACCATACACTGCATGCCCTGAATGAAACTTTGAGATTACATCTCTCACATGAAGATAAGCACTGGGTAGCGTAAGTTGAAAGGGCAAAGGTATCAAGTTTTTCCCAAAGAGGCCAGAATTTCTAGTCAGAACATGACATCTTTTCATCTGTTTTGTCAATCCTAGCTGAAAGTTCATTTTAATAATGAGCTGCATGCCAGTTGGAAATGTCACAAAGTATATTTAGACGTACAGTATGACTCTGCACATAGTTCAGTGCAAAAGCTTTAGCTGTTGTTGAAGCCAAGTTTGGCTTATTGACTAGCAAGGCAAAAGGGAGCTAAGATCCAGAGTCCAACAGCCTAGCCATGCTTTCTAACCTCACCTAACGGTATGGCTAGGAACCATTCAAAACAAAGGCGAGGCTGAGTTTTGTGTGTGAAGTAACACTCCAGAGCACATGGATTTTATGAGGTACTAGATTTCAGTTGTGTGTGTCTTCTCTACAAGAGACATGCACAGTGCTCTGATCTATAGCGACTGAGATCACACACACATCTGGTCTCCTGCATGGCAGAGCAGGGCATTAACCACTAGCACCATGCTGCACTGATCACACAAGGGCACATTTTGCCACCTATGAGCTTAAATTGGACTACTGGCCTGAAGAATAGTAGTACTTAGTGGGAGTAAGGGTGGCAGACCTTACTCTTGACCCACACTGAGGCATGAAATCACTACTTTAGAGTGTCCCATACTTTGCACCTTGTTTTTCTGTACAGGGGAAAGGATTTGTTTCCCACACCAGTTCTTACATGTCACCACTGCACTTTCACTGCAAAGCCACAGCAAGACAAATGTTCTAGCGTGGCGCATGACATCACCCCCAGATTCATCGTCCTTCTATCTAACACATTTTC